TGGTAGACCAGCACCAAGGGAGCATACCATTGGAAGGAAAGAGAGCCCATATAGTGGAAGAGGTAGGAGGAAAGAGACCCCAGACGGTGGAAAGAGCTAGGGGAAGCCAGGTAAGTTGACAGAAATAGAAGGTTTTTTCTTATTAATGAAGGCAATGGAGTAAAGGGGAAGTGGATAAATTCTTGGAAGATGGATTTAACAAGCCACACAATAATCTTACCTCTGGTAAAATGAAACATGCTAATCATGTCAGCTGATAAGAGAAACTAATCCAGTAAACATATGAGATCAAATTAAGAAAATTCATATGTATTGTTGAAAACAAACCAAAACAAGGAACATTATGTTTTGCAAGTCTGCGGAAAACATCCCTCAGAAACAGAACAAAATTTAGAATACTAACGTATCAGAGAGAAGAGAACTACTAGAACAAAACAACAGAGCTCATAACACATCTAATGAATCAAGCCTCAACCCTCTCAGGCGCTGCCTCTTCGGTGGCGTAGACAATAACCTTATTCGCTGGTTTTGCCAAGATATCAAAGTACTCTTGGAATGGAGATTTGGTGAAACGAGTCTCTTTCCAGAAGTCTGGGGTCAGGAACCCGTAAGTCTTCATTAAACAATCAAAGGTAGCCTGCATACATAATATGAGTGGCATCAGACTCAAAACACATCCACAACACAAACAGCAAATATATGCCTTTTTATGCTATGAGTTATATTCCCTTCATTTAAACAAGGTCTAAGATGGTGTTTGGATAGACACTTGTGATAAGCCACAATCCAAACGCCATCTACATAGTGTGATTTTATATCTTTTTAAGAACAAAAGTGCTTATCACACATTGCAGCACAGGTATTGCAGGAAATGGTAAGAATCAATAATGGTACTGCTCCTACCCCACAATTCGACTTGCTCAACACTGAATTCAGTCACAGGCAGACGCACACACTTATCCCAATTTAACCAATACTCTTAATACATCCATACTTTCGGAACTAAACCAAACAATCTTGTTCTCGAGAATGACAAGATTTGGAACTATAAGACTAACAATTGTTACCATCTCTGTAATAATCTACAAAGTTTCAGTGCAATTTTTCCTAAAATTTGAAAACTTTGTAGCCATATATTGATACAGATAATAACTTTCTTATAGAAAGATCATTCTTTACTTCTTTATTAACATCAAGCTCAAGGCAATTTACAAAAAGTTTTACTGGAAAAGACTTCCCGGTTGTCCTCTCCACATTAGCCATTTTAAACAAAATGTACTGTCAAATTGAACTTTTTTGTTAAATTATAATGTTATACGCATGCTATAGTATTAGACGATACATATAATAGAATCATCACACAATTAAAAATAATGATATATGCAAGATCTGCTAAAAGATCGAACCTTAACGAAGTTGCCAAGGGTTTTGGTGGATCCACGAGAAGATGTGAAGACATCTTCAATACCAGCAAACTGAAGGACCTTCTTGGGGACACGAGCAGCAACAATACCAGCACCACGAGGAGCAGGCACCATCCTCACAGTAACAGACCCACATTTCCCTGTAACCTTGCAAGGCACAGTGTGTGGCTTACCAATCTTGTTACCCCAGTAACCTCTCCTCACTGGAATCACTGATAGCTTAGCCAATATAATTCCTCCACGAATAGCAGTAGCGACTTCCTTCGAGCACTTAACACCCAAACCAACGTGACCATTCCCGTCACCTACAACAACAAACGCCTTGAACCTGGTTCTCTGTCCGGCACGGGTCTGCTTCTGAACCGGCATGATTTTCATCACCTCGTCCTTGAGAGATGGACCGATGAGAGTATCGATGATTTGAAACTCCTTGATTGGGAGTGAGTGAAGGTAGATTTGCTCAAGTGAGCGGATTTTGCCATCCTTAACGAGCCTTCCTAGCTTTGTGACCGGAACCCATTTCTCCTCCTCTGTTTCACGACGTGGACGACGGCCTCCACGGCCCCGTCCACCGCGGTCTCCACCTCTCCCACCACGTCCTCCAAATCCACGACCGAATCCACCTCTCTCCCCTTCTCCTCTCTCCGCCATGATTGTAGGTATTGGGTGTACAGCTAGGGTTTACAGAGTGTGTGAGAAGATGAAAAATGACGGATTGTTAGGTTTATAAGGGAGCTAGGGTTTCGTAAAATGGGCTTGAGGGAAAGAAAGTCCATACGGAACTACAAGTTTGGCCCATAATGATACAACTTCCGTATATAGCCCATAATAGTTTGCAATTTTTAGCCTAAAGATATTAGCATCAAGTGCCAAATAATTAAAAACCGTACATTTCGAGGAATCGTTTGATTTGAATACAAGTTATGTTGGATAAATTACGTTGAAATTAGTTATACTTATATTGGTATTATATTTTTATTAATTGTTTGATTCGTTGAGATTAGTTATACTTATATTGATATTATTTTTTTGTTAATTGTTCGATTTGTCGTATTAAAAAAAAAATTGTCATTGTATACTTCTTAAAATAAGTTATTTGTTGGCCAGGGTATGGATTTAGTTATTCAGTTTTAAAAACAAAATCTCTATCTTAATTAGTAGTATAATTAATTTTATGTATGAATTCTCATGAATTTTCTTTGTTTTATGAGCGACACCAACATATCTATAATAACAACCATCATAACACCTGTTTAGCCTAAGTGCAACAGTAATGGCCACAAAATACAGCAACAAGCATTAAGTATGGTTTTTACTAATTTAAGTTGTATACTAAGGGTCGTTTGGTAGAGTGTATTAAAAAAATAATGTATATATTAACCTTGTGTATTAGTAGTATTTTGTTTGGTACTCTTTTTCAATTTGTGTATAACTAATGTCACTCTATTGTGTATTAAGGTGTGTATTGTTAATACCAGTGTTTTAAACGGCGGGGGCATGAGGCGAGACGTTGTATGCAATACGGGACGAGACGTAAGCACCGAGACACAGGACATAAGTCTTATGGATCTACGAAGTGTAGTCTCATGTATATTTTTATAATTTTATTACTAAAAAAGTAAAAGTAAAACTTTCAATTATTTTACAAATATATTTATTAAATAACCTATAATATATATAAAAAAATAATAAGGTTTTTATTTGAGAAAGGTATTAATCACCAATAATGATGAAAAAAGTATTACAATTACTAATTGTGAAACATCATTACATCAATAATAAAAATATGATTTAAAGCAAAAAAAGTTCAAAAAAAAGGCCAGAGCATACGTTTTTACGCTTGAAACTTACGCCCTTTGGATCTACGCCTTGCATTTGCATTCCGATGCGTTTTTGTTGATCCCTGCCCTGAGACTCGCCCCAAAAAAAGCCCAAAAAAACGTTTTTGAAAACACTATCTAATACCATGAATTTCTAGGTATTAACAATGCAATGATTTTAACTTTTACTGCATGCATTCAGGGGCAGACCCACGTGGGTTCCAGGAGGTTCATTCGAACCCCCTCGGCAAAAAATTACACTGTATATTTAAGGTAATCTTCTGTATTTTTGTGGATATCTATATTTGAACCCCCTCAATAACAAGGAGAAATATATAGCCCAACGGTAGGTCCCCTTGAAATTAAGCTTCACACCAAGGGTTCAAATCCTTGTGTTAGCATTTTATTTTTTAGTTTCAGTTCCGTTTTCACATTTTTTTAGTTTTTTATTTTATAAAACATGCTAAAAGTGTGGTTTTAAACCCAAAAAAAATCAAGGGTCGGCCACTAAAACTATATACTACTACTTCTTTGAAATTTTGTTTTGTTGGCTTATATACAAGTTTATACTTTCATTTTTCGAACCCCCTGAACGAAAATTTTGGGTCCGTCACTGCATGTATTAACTCAATTAAAGGCCCCATTTCCTCTCAATTCATTTTTTATATCTTTTCCACCATAATGAAGGATACTTTGTAAATAATTTTTATAATGCAATGGATTCTATTTTTAATGCATCAAACAAACAATGCATAAAAATAATTTATGTATAATTAATGCAAGCACAACTAATACATGAATTGTTAATGCAAATATTATTAATACACTCTATTTAGCATTATTTTTATATATTCTACCAAACGATCCCAAGAGTATAATTGTTTTCACTTCATTAAAATAGGAAGAACTGCATTCCAATTATATAAATTAAATCGATTTCGATGCTATTTTTATTTTTATGAGTTTTGGCCAATTTATCATGAAAATTGAAAGGTAAAGTTTTCATAGAACCTAGTTTTGTCAATTATTCTTCATATTTTGTAATTGAATATCCTTTAAAACATATATGGGCAAATATTAGATAATTTTTTTCATGGTCCTAACATAACATTTTTTCTGTAATACTATAATTTATGGACAGATATTTGGTTTATAATCTTGGAGTTGGAACTTACACTTTGTTTGGATCATTGTTACCCATTGTTTCATAATGTACTGTATTGTATTGTACTTTATTGTATTGTACTGTATGATAGATACAATATTTGGCTAGACTGTATTGTTTAATAACATTTTTATTGTTGGGTTTGACTGTATCATATTGTATTGTAATTTATAAATTTATTAAATATCCTTAATTATTATAGTGTATGAGGTTTGACTAGAATTAAATAATGTTGGGTAAAGGGTAAACTAGTAATATGAAATATTATGTAAGGATATAATTGAAAAAAGAAATTAAGTTACAATGGAAACACACCAAATCGATTGTTCCATAAAATAGGATTTTCATCGTTACATAACAACAAATTTAACAATACAATATAAGTAACAATAAAAATAAATATTGTAGATATGATAACAATACAATACAATATAATATAATACGGAACAATGAAACAGAGTGTTAGATTCTAAGCAACTCTTGTCATTTTGGTTCATTTGAAATGAAATAATATAAGCTTGAGTTTGTGAATTTGTTTGTTAGTTTGATGAGATCCAATTACAGTTTGAATCTCTAAACTGTCCATCAAGAATTCAATCTTCCATGCAACTTGCATGGGTATGAACGCAGCTACCGTCCTGAACCATATCATCAATGGCGAACCCACCACCCCCTGCAGCTCCAAAGGGGCAACATCTTCACAAGCGAAAGCCTTAACAACTACAATCATCAACCATCTTCGTTTGGGTCGACTTGGAAAAGCTGTCTCTGTTTTGTTCTCAGCTCCAGTTCCTTTCCCTTTTGCTCTCTATGTTCATCTCTTCAGAATCTGTGCATCAAAGAAGGCCATTGTTGAAGTCCGTAAAGTCGAGTCGCATTTGGTTAGTTTTGCTCCAACCCCACCTGTATTCTTGCTCAATCGAGCAATTGAAGCGTATGGTAAATGTGGGTGTTTGGTTGATGCAAGAGAGCTGTTTGATGAAATGCCTCAAAGAGATGGTGGGTCTTGGAATGCTATGGTTACTGCTTATTCACAAAATGGGTATGCTGGGAAGGCATTGGGTGTGTTTTCTGATATGCATAAGTCTGGGATTTTTGCTGCTGAGGTTACTTTTGCGAGTGTTCTTGCTTCGTGTGCTTCTACCTTGGCGCTTTGGCTTTCTAGACAGGTGCATGCCCTTGTTTTTAAATATGGTTTTGGTGGTAATGTGATTTTAGGGAGTTCACTTGTGGATGTGTATGGGAAGTGTAGGAGAATGGGGGATGCACGGAAAATGTTTGATGAAATTGAGAGACCAAATGCTGTTACTTGGAATGTGATTGTTAGGAGGTATCTTGAGATGGGTAATGGAAAAGAGTCTGTCTTTCTGTTTTTCAAAATGATTAGTCTTAATGTGAGGCCGCTGACATTTACAGTCTCAAATGCTCTAGTTGCTTGTTCTAGTTTTAGAGGATTTCGTGAAGTAATTCAAATTCATGGATTAATTATCAAGATTAGTTATGAAGAGGATGAGGTTGTTTCGTGCTCTCTAATTGATGTGTATGCCAAATGTGGGGATTTAGTGTGTGCTCGGACAATTTTTGACCTACTATCCCCTAAAAATTTGATTCATTGGACTTCTATGGTGTCAGGATATACGCTGAGTGGGAAAACCAGGTTAGCAAGGGAGCTTTTTGATAGGATGCCTGAACGCAGTATAGTTTCATGGAATGCAATGCTAGCAGGATATGCACATAATTCACAATGGGATGAAGCAATGGAGTTAATCATTTTAATGTGCAACGATATGAGGAACACTGATCGTGTGACTGTAAGTTTGATCCTGAATGTTTCTGCAGGGCTTTCAGATCTTGAATTGGGGAAGCAGGTTCATGGATACATGTATAGGCATGGTTTCTACTCCGACTTGAGTGTTGCTAATGCCCTTCTTGATATGTATGGGAAATGTGGGAACTTGAGAAAGGCTAGAACTTGGTTTTACGAAATGCGTCATTTCCGAGATATGGTTTCTTGGAATGCTTTGTTGAGTAGCTATGCTCGTCATAGGATGAGTGAAGAAGCTTTAGTAATTTTCTGGGAAATGCAACAAGAGGCGACACCTAGTAAATTCACTTTTGCTACTCTCTTGGCGGTTTGTGCAAATATTTTTGCTCGTGAACAAGGTAAACAAATCCATGGGTTTTTGATTAGAAATGGTTATGATTTGGACATCGTTATCAGAGGAGCTTTGGTTGATATGTATTCCAAATGTCGTTGTCTTGACTATGCACTGAATGTTTTCATTGGGACTTCTGTGAAAGATGTTGTTCTCTGGAATTCTCTGATGCTTGGATGTTATTATAACAAACAAAGTGAAGCAATATTGAAATTGTTTGAGTTGATGAAGGAGGATGGAGTGAAGCCAGATAGTACAACCTTCCAAGCTGTACTGCTTGCATGTATTTCTCAGGGTTGTGTGAAATTGGGTGGACAGTATTTCAATTCACTGAGTCAAGATTATTTTATTATACCACAAGTAGAGCATTACGAATCCATGATAAAGTTATATGGTCTGCATGGATTCTTTGATGAGCTTGAAGATTTTGTTGAGAAGATGCCATTTCAACCCACAGCCCCTATGTTAGCAAGAGTTTTTGACTCTTCCAAAGAATACAATAACACAAGGTTAGGAAAATGGGCTGTCAGACATCTTAGTTTTCTGAAGGACTGAGATTTTTTATTCCGTTTTGCTTCAAGTTTCGGACAAGATCTAACTTGTTACAAGGTTGGCTAAAGCAATTGTCGCTAGAATATGTAGACACAAGCCTGATTGTGCACTTTGGAACTTTTTTAGTGTGCCAAATTGCTGAATATTGCTCTGACACTAAATATTTTACCGGAGCCAAATACTGCAGAGAAGCAGATCTCCCAAAAGTGCCTGAACTTACGAATACATGCATAATTCAAGCACAACAATATTTTTGAACTGTAATGCAAGGAAGTTGCTGTTTAGGTGGCTGTTACATAACTCCTTGTGTTATAAAAGATGATCATTTGTGGTGGGCTTTGACATTTTCAACAATGAAGTGGCTGTGTGCAGTCATAACTTGAGTGGTCTCTAACAGATAAATAGGGAGCAGATCTTCCTTCTCCTGGTATGCATGCTACAGCACTCCTTTCATCTTTCCCATTTGCATACTGCATGCCCAAAAAATTAATGAAGAAAATTGGAAGTTTTAAAGACTTTCTTCTGGGATCTGGCATTTGTCTATGAATTGTGTAGCATCGGATGCTTTCCTAGTAACACACTTGAAGTATGGAACTCCTCTTATATTATTGTTCACTATAATAATAGAAGGGATGAGTTGAAGTGTTAGTATTTTGATTTAGGTGTATAAGTGTCCTCCCCTTGCATTATACAAGTTAAAACTTTCATCTTTTATTTTTGTTCTCTCGTGTATTTACATTTTTTCCAGTACATTTTGAATCTTCTTAAAGCCTCTTTCTTTAAAGCTTCAGGGTAATTTGGGTGGAAGAAAATGGGTTTTCTTCTTTTTGAATTTTGATGCATATCATGTTGTACCTTTCGACATTTAATACATGCTTATTTATGAAATCACTTTTTTTTTCAATAAAACTAATTTTATTTTCTTGGTTTCCCCTGTGCTCGGCTACTGGCTTCACCTTTACCTGAAAGGTTTTACTGAAATGCTTAGAATAGATGGTTCTTGAAGCCAACACACACTTTCACATGCATTATCCTGCTTATGGCTTGAAATGCTAATCTTGTAATGTGCTCTTCATTTCACAATTCATGGGTCAGATAATATTTCAAAGGGATCTCGATTTCTAGGACTTCAGAATCACTAATGGGTATGTTGGGTCAAAAACACTAATTAACAACTTAAAATCTTCTACATTAGTAGTAATATTGCATGTGGAAACAGAAACTCTGCATAATCGACAGAAAGAGGGATAACAATAGTATGTTTTTCCACTAAGTTAAAAGTGATTTTTCACTACAAGTAAATAATGTTGGATTGGAAAAATCATTTTATTCCTCTTCTTATACTTCTGCTCATTTTTGGTGTTGGATTGAGAAAATTATTTTATTCCTCTTTTTAAGATTAGAGGTAATAATGTTGGATTGGTAAAGGCCTAAAGGGTGGCTTTGTTTGGTGATTGTGACCAGCAGTACAAAATGATAATGATATCTACAATATTGGAAGAATACGCCAAGTAATCCTTAAATTCAGGTTGTTACACTTGAACTTGTATAAAGTTGAATAAGTAGACACATACATTTTACGTAGCATAATACATGCAGGACACTAACTAGGATGCCGTGTAGAACGTGAATTGCCACATAGTACTTGTGTGTTAATTTTTTTTTTCCAAATTTCATAATGAAGCATAGCCAACTCTCACTAATTTTCAAAAATAGTCAACGGTTATTTAGAAAAAAAAAAGAAATAAATATTTTTTATGGCCAAACACATAGTGTAAAATTTTCCGAGGAAGAGAGAGAAACCTGAATGCCGGAGGGTTTGGTGAAGGTTGAAAGAGGAGAAAATTACATTGTCAATGAGTCTGGAATTAAAGTTATATTGAAAAAAACTAAGTTTCGTGGATTAGTTTAGGGGAATTTTTTGTATTTATTCTTTTATATTAATCGCAATTTGACAAGCTTGAGAAACACAAGATACTTGCTCAACTTTTGTATTGTATTTGTGTTTATGATGTATTTATTTTTATTTGACTCATAATGTTAATTTTGTTACATAAAACTTGTTAAAAGTAAGGTAAATATATAAATTGGATGCTCCTTTATATAAATTGGATGCCCAACGGTGAAGGGCCTAAAATATCTTTAAACTATTGAAATTGATATAAAATATACTATGTTAACCTATTAGCCACAAAATGCCCTTGGGGTTAACCTTTATGGCCCTTTATTACCCTTATTTACAAATGGATCATTAATTGAATTAATTAATTTTGTCATTTAATACGTCTCACATTTTGATTCACTAGAAAAATAATTCATTAAAATTAATTTAATTTAGCTCATACCCAGATATGGATCTGCTCCCCTCCATTACCTCTTCCCTCCATTTCGTCAATTGCATGTCTAAATGAGAGACACGTGTCTTATTTAAAGTTTAAGGATCAAGATTATATTATATTAACAAATATCACAATCATAGTTAAGTCAACTAATTTTAAAAAACTACTCTTAAATTTGGTAAGAATTACTATATATTCCATTCAAAATTTGATATATATTAATATCATTAATTTCATATTATATTTTACATTTAAATATTAAATTGTATGATATTTAAGGTGAGAATCAACTAAACAATTTTATGTACTAGTAAACTTTGTTGAGAAAATGGCTAAATGACCCCCCAATCTATAACCGGATTTCCAACTACACACTTATACTTCACAGAGTCCTATTACCCCCCTCAACTATTTTAAAGTGGAATTATTTCCTCCCTGAAATGTCATTACCAGGCATCTGTCTTGTGGTGAAATACACGCACTTGACACATGTATTTAACCATTTAATGATTTTTTTTTTTAAAAAGTTCTCCTCCTTCCTCTTTCTTTCTTCCCCAATCATTTCTTCAACCCTAACTATATATACTAAACACCATTTTTTACCTCAATAATTTTTTATATCTCTAACATTTTATAAAAACGAAAATTCAACTCACCTTTTCATCTACTCCGAATCTCTAGAGTCTACAAGATAGTGATCCTAATTAATCAAATCTTTCATCCAACTAATTCAACAATTTTTCCACATTTTTTTACATTTCGTTCGATTTTCTTCCTTAGACAATTTCAGATACACATTAAATGGGTCATGAACATTCGAGATAAGATTCATCCCTTGAAGATTCCGCCGACTACTCAAAATAATCCCGGATGAGAAGATCAATTTGTAACACCAATTTGAGAAACCTCTCTCTCTTCCCCATTCTCTATTATTTCTCCCTCTAAAATTTTCATGATTAATTTATAATTTGAGTTTTTGATTTTGATTCTTCATGTATTTTAGGAGAACATGTAGGATCCTTCTTTTAAAATGTAGAAGAAATTGTTTTGTTTTAGTTTCTTTTATTAAGTTTGAAAATATTTTTTAAATATACAAGTACTTTGATTTTGTTACTCTTGAATTCATCACTTTAAAAATAATTAATTAATGGGTATGTTTTTTTTTTTAAAAAAAAGTTAATTTGTTTGATATATTCTAAATAAGTTTATTGAAAAATTATTTATTCATTAAATGCATTTTTTGTTGATAATTTTTATTCCAAACATCCATTGAAAAAGCTTCAACAATGATAATAGTGAAAAATGTATAATTGTATAGATAAATAAGAAGAAAGAAAGAGAAAGAAAAAAAAAATTAGAAACGAAAATTAATAAATAGGCAACTCACTCTCTCAAAGAGAGTGAAATACACTTTCTATGCCAACTCAACACTTAAGGGGTTATTTATTCTATTTTAAAGTAGTTCAGGGGGGTAATAGGACTCCCGCGGAGAATAGGTGTGTAGTTGGAAATTCGGTAATAGGTTGGGGGGTCATTTGGCCATTTTCTCAAACTTTGTTCTTGAAATAATACATATATTGGACCTTAAACTTGGCTTCAAATTTTAACTTTGACCTCCAACTTTCATAGTGCACAAACATACACTTTAACTATCCAACCTTTTAATAAATAAACACGCGTGTCTTACCTGGCAAAACGCGTGATGTGCACGTATTTTGCGCGAGTTAGGAGTAATTTTCGAGGCCCACAACAGTGAAAAAAATGTTGAAATGACAACTCTACCCTTAATTAAATTTTTTTTTAGTTCTAAAATGGACGTGTAAAGTATTTAATTAGTTGGCAGCCATTGAGTGGCTCACTAATACACGTGGAAGCGTTTGCATTTCACGCTCTTTGGCTCCAAAAATCGCGTGTTTATTTATTAAAAGGTTGGATAGTTAAAGTGCTTGTGTTGTGCACTATGAAAGTTGGAAGTCAAAGTTAAAATTTGAAGCCAAGTTTAAGGTCCAATATATGTATTATCCCAATATTATATTATGTTAAGAAACAAAAAAAAAAGGTGAAGAATTATCAATATTAAAATCATAAAATAAAAGAACATGAAATTAAAAAAAAAAAGACGAAAGATTTTTAGAAATAAACATGAAATTCCAAAATTATTCTAAGGAGAAAATGTGGCTATCGTGTTTGAAGGGGAAAAATATATGTTTTTTAAAAATATTCTTCTATCTTTTTTTTTTAAATAAAAGAAAACATTGTTTATTTAATGCAAATATTTTTGAAGATTATTATTTTACCACATTAAATATAAATGCTTCATGATCTACAAATACCAAAATTATTCCAAGGAGAAAATGTGGCTATTATGTTTGAAGGGGAAAAATACATGTTTTTTTAAAAGGGAAAATGCATAAGTACCCCTCAACTTATGCCCAAAATCCCTGAGATACACCTAACCTTTACTAAGGTCCTATTACCCTCCCGAACTTATTTTATATATAATTTTCTACCCCTTTTCGGCCTACGTGGCACTATCTTGTAGGCCCAGCGCGTGTTGATAATTTTTTCAAGGATAATGCCACGTAGGGCGAAAAGAGGTAGAAAATTATATATAAAATAAGTTCGGGGTGGGGGGTGGGGGGGGGGTAATAGGACCTTAGTAAATGTTAGGTGTGTCTCAGGGATTTTGGGCATAGGTTGGGGGTACTTATGCACTTTCCCTTTTTAAAATATTCTTTTATCTTTCTTTTTTTGAAATAAAAGAAAACATAGTGTTGAATGCAAATGTTTTTGAAGATTATTATTTATCACATTAAATATAAATGTTTCGTGTTCTATAATTTTAATATTAAAATATTAAAATATAAGATGAAATTAATGATATTAATAAATATAAAATTTTGTATGGAATATAGTGAGTTCTTACCAAATTTGGAGAGTAGTTTTCTAAAATTAGTTGACTTAACTATGGTTATGCTATTAGTTAATATAATATAATCTTAACCTTTAAACTTTAAATAAGACACATGTTTCTCATCTAAACATGCACTTGACGAAATGAAGGAAATGGGTAATGGAGGGGAGCCGGATCCCCAAGATCTACCCATTAAATCACCCACCTATGACCCACCAACACTTCACAATTTGGAACGGTGTCGTTTTATCTGCAGATGCGGAGAGCAGGATTCCGACAAATATGGTGAAGGAGATCAAGGCCAGGGAAAGGGAGTAAATGGCAGGAGAACCATATTTGATCAGTTCATCGAAAACCAAATGATTGAAGAGTGTAAGCGGCTATTGATTATCAGTTCATCGAAAATCGAACGATTAAAGGGTGTTTAGAAAGGTAACGACGTCAGGCTTGGATCATCATGATTTTAGGCAGAGGAAGAAAATTGAAAATCTTGTTGATCAACAAAATATATTTCTCTACTATAACTATTGTTAGTGCCGGAGTTACAGCAGAAATATTTTAAGCTAATAGGTTCTCACGTTTAGAATAATTGGGTTTTTAGTTGGGTCAGGATTGGATGGATCTAGGGATGGCAATGGGGCGGGGCAAATGCGGGGTGAGTTTAAGGCTATGTGGGGCGGGGCGGATGCGGGGTGAGTTGAAGTGGGTTTTTAAAAAATTAATGTGGGCGGGCGGGTTGCAGGTATATGTGATTTTATGTGAATTCAAACTTAATTTTAACTTTTTACATGTTATAAGAGTAATAGAACATTATTTATGAAGATAATTTCATTAAAGCTACTAAAATATTTAAGATAATAAATGAAATGGTTCAATAAAAAATAATACAATTTCTTACATGTTTCCCCCAATTGACCTCTAAAAAATAAAATTTTAAATCACTATCCTATTAAATTAATATAACTCAATGAAAAATGAATTTATTTTTTTGAATTTTATTTTTAGTATCAAACATAACTAGAAAAAGAAAATATTAAAAAAATTATGTTGAGTGGGTTCATGTGGGGCGGGTCTGTGCGGGGTAGGGTGGGGCGCGTTAACAATGAAAAAGTTGTTATGCGGGGCGGGGCGAATTAAAAATTTTACGGATTAAGTTCAACCCGCATCACCCTTGCCCTACACCGCCCCATTGCCATCCCTAGATGGATCCGGGTTGAGTTAAATTAATTTTAGTTAATCATATCACATATTAAATAAGAAAATTAATTAATTCAATTTATGGGCTCTTTGTGAATAAAAGTAAATTTAAAGTATATTTTTGTGGACAATAGGTTAACAAATGGTATTTTTATATCAATTTTAATAGTTATATTTTAGACCTTTTTTCGTTTTACCAAGTCAAATAATTTCTTCAAAAATTATGATCAAACACATAGAAAAACTTTAGCACGACTTCATCCAAAAATAATTTAAAAAATGTATGGTCAAACCGGAGCTTAGTCTTTACCAAAATAATGTCTGAAATATTTGATTGAACTTTACCTACAAATTAAATGTGGCGCTCATATTTGTGCAACTCAGTAGCAGAATGGTTCCTTTTACCTTATGAATATTCAAAGCTACACTGAGCGGGATTCTTCAGTTGTTGTAGTTGTATGTACCCTTTTGTACAAAGAGTTTACAAATACCACACACATTCACTTTCATTCTATTCTCGTCTCATACCCCACTGCCTCTCATTCAGTTCTTTGCAAATACTTCATGGGAAATTAATAAAACTTGGTTTCAACAAGAATACTTTTCTGGGTAATTGTTATCTTGATTTGTATAGCAAGTTTGGTACAAAAATTGATGCTTTTAAAGTCTTTGATGAAATACCATACAAGAATGTTGTGTCCTGGAATATATGGTTGAAGGTGCTAGTTCAGTCAGGTGATGTGCATTGTGCACGCCAATTGTTTGATGAAATGCCTGAGAGAGATGTTGTGAGTTGGAATTCGATGATTTCGGGGTATGCTTTGTATGGGTTGTTTGAGAATGCTTTGGGTGTTTTCTTGGAAATGCAAAAGTATGGTATTAGGCCTAGTGGATATACTTACTCGATATTGGTTTCACATGTAGAGTTTGCTTTCCATGGCAAGGAGATACATGGAAATATGCTAAGGAATGGTGTGGATTTGTCTAATGTGGTGGTTGGGAATTCACTGATTGATATGTATGGAAAGCTTGGGATAGTAGACTATGCTACTGGTGTATTTTTAGCCATGGAGACAGTGGATGTTATTTCATGGAACTCATTGATTTCGAGCTGTTGTAAATCAGGGTATGAAGATACAGCTCTGTCTTATTTCTCTTTGATGAGAGCTTGCAAATATTCACCGGATGGGTTCACAATGTCTTCAGTGCTTATTGGCTGTTCAAACTTGCGCAGTTTGGAGAAGGGCAAGCAAATCTTATGTCTTTGCGTAAAGATGGGATTTTTGTGCAACACTATTGTTTCAAGTGCAGCAATTGACTTGTTTTCTCACTGCAACAGAATTGAGTATTCAGCTCGTATATTTAAGGATTCAAATATTTGGGATACAGCTCTGTGCAATTCAATGATTTCGAGCTATGCACTGAACAGTTTAGAAGAAAATGCCTTGCAGCTATTTGTCCTAACTTTGAGGAAAAATATTAGAGCTACTGAGTTTACACTCAGCTGCATTCTTAGCTGTACTACAACTTTCCCTGTGGATCTGGGGATTCAAGCTCATTCTTTGGTCATCAAGTTAGGCTTTGTATCAGATCCTGTTGTTTCCACTTCACTTGTAGATATGTACTGTAAATATGGATTGATTGATTCCGCCGCAAATATTTTCAATGACCTACTAACAAGAGATTTGATATCGTGGAACACCATGATCTTTGGGCTGGCTATCAATGGTGAATCTACCAAATCACTCAGCCTTTATTATGAACTACTTGAACTTGGTGGTCAACCAGATCGAATAACATTGACTGCGCTTCTGTTAGCTTGCAGCTATGGTGGATTTGTCGATGAAGGTATATCCATATTTTCTTCAATGGAAGAGGAATATGGAATCACACCTGGCATTGAGCACTACACTTGTGTTGTGGGCATGATGACCAGGGCTGGTAAACTTAAAGAAGCCGGAGATATATTACAAAATATGCCTCACGAGCCCAACAGTGAAATGTGGGAATCAATACTTCTTGCTTGTGATATTTATGGGGACTTGAAAGCAACTGAAAAGGTTGCAGGGAAGATAATGGAGTTAGCACCAGAATCATCTCTGCCATATTTGGTGCTAGCGCAAGTATACGAGTCCAGGGGAAGATGGGAGAGCCTTGTTCGGGTCAGGAAGGAGATGAAAGAGAGAATAGAAAACAAAGTAGCTAGTTACAGTTGGATTAGTGTACGCAGCAGTGTAATCATGTACCAAGCAAACCAAATTCTTAGTTGTGGCAGTAAGGACATAGGCATTTATTCAACGTTGAAGCTATTGACAGAGGATACATGGGATAAAGGTTTATGCTAATCAGTTGCAACTGGGAGTAATAGCTACTAAACAGATGAGTATAGTGCACAAATAGAAAATCAAAATTTAAAATTGATTCTTATACAATGGGCAAAGCCAACTTTGTTTTTGCTATTGATGTGGATTTGCTATAAGTGACTTTCAAGGTCTGAATCTGATTCATTGCATCAAGAGGGGTAAAAGCTTTTCCAAAGTTCAAAATTTCCACATGCATATGATGGAGAACCAGTAAGGGTAAAAGGATACTCGCCTTGTTTCAGGATGCAGAATTGGAGCAATTCCATAGAACTCAGAATGTTGCATCTAACAAAAACCTATATTTTGTATTTTGGCCTTTAGAGAGGCATTAACTTCATCAATATGAGATAATTCTTTCAGCTTTAGTAGTTTTATACACCTTAATCAAGCCACAAACATCTCTAGGGAACAATGATTGTCCAGTAATAGATATCACTCATATAACCTCTCCATGTCTTGGATGCCTCATCATAGAGTTTGAGGCTGAGAGATGCTGAGTTTGACGGGAAGATTAAAAGGTAATGTAGAATCTTATCTCTCTGTAATCTGTGAAGCTAACATGTCTACAAATACTTGAGTGTTTACTTTATATGTTAGTTTGCCTTCTTTCTCATTGTTGCTTTTGTGATAATCATTCTTGATAGATCAGAACTTTTGTGGGATTTCACTGGGTATGTTGTTGTTGTTGATAGATCAGAACTTTTCATTAAAACCACACGAAGTTGATTTTAAGAACATGTACAATGAGAATGAGTGGATCAATCACACTTAGCTAACAAGTTATCCCAATCATCTATGCAAGTAGGATCTTCGATTTACACCAAAAGACTAAATGAAACAAAAATTAAGTTACTTTTATTTCTTTCTGTATGATGGATCAATTCTCTTTCCTTCTACACTATCCAAAAAACATATAGAGCTGTGTAGTTCTCCATATTGCCCTTCATTCTTTTTCAATTCCGCACAGCTTCCAACTCGTAATTGCCTCCTCAACTATACTTGGTAAATCCCTTCCAACATTGAACGATGAACATGTGAGGTTCCATAGTTGTTTAGTGAATTTGCAATGCAACAAAATATAGTCAGTGCTCTTCCCACTTTCTTTGCACAAACAACACCAACTCACTACAATTCTCCTTCTATTCATAAGATTATCAGATTGTCAATATTGCTCCTTTACAGCACATATGTGAAAAAGATAATACTTTCCATGTTGCTTTACCACCCCAAACATTCTTCACACCACATTTTTACCCTCATAAGATTTTGTATATGTCGCCTTCTACATCATCAAATCCTCCTTTCATCTTTTCCTTCTCAATGCTGATTGGAATATCTCTTCGGAGAACACTATCCAATCTGCTCCCTGATTATCCTGACTCAAGTGTTCTCCACTATAGCACCCATATCATTTCTCAATTAGTAAGCCCATGCGAAAGTCTCCTTTATAATAGTGTTTTTTTGCCACACTTCTTTCACTGAATCGTGCAGCACTCTTACAGCATTACCCACTGCGTACCCAGTATGTGTAACATTCCATTCATAGTCCCCGTCGATACACTCACCCCATACATGGTTATCTTTTCACCCGAGAACCATGAATTATCTGTGAATTTGTTTTTTCGTAATGTATTTTCCTCTTGGGCGGATCTCCACAGCCACTTCCCGTTAATGTCACTAAAAACAGGGATTCCTCGTATCCTTCATCCCTTCTGTCATTTGAAGTTTCATCTTCTAATAATCTAACAATTTTTGCTTCTATTCCCTTTCCTTTCCTTACCACGTGTGATCTCTCGTCATCTTTTCAGTCGCTGTTAGAAACATGCAAAACAAAAACATGTAGTATGTGGGATACTCCGTCTATCTTAATTTATATGTCATGCTTTCCTTTTTAGTATATCCTGAAAAGAATGTCATACTTCCTTATTTAGAAACAATTTAACTTGAAACTTCCTACCCTACCCTTGATGAGATCATTTATAGCCGCACAAATATCAATGGTTTGTTTTAGAACACAAGTTCCAAAAGTCTTCCTTTCTATCTTAAACTCCGTACCGGGGCAAACACCGCCACATAAATTGGGATGGAGGGAGTATGAGATTACGTGATTTACCCACCCTTAGATAACTACCTTCTTTTCCATTGTGCTTAAGTTTTTTCTCAAATTTCTCTGCTACCAATTCCTCTAGTCCCTTGTCCTTAAATTTCCCCCTAGTGGCAAACCCAATCATCTTAGTGATGGTGCTGTCACCTTACTTCCATAAATACTTTCCAATTTAGAAATATTCAGCACCTTGCCACTTAGTACCAACTCGAACTTCCATAAATTGATGTGAAGTCCTGTAACTGCTTCAAACCAAATAAATATAGACTGTCCACCTGTGGCTTATCAAAAGATAATTACATAAAACAGAGCTTCTAAAAAATTAATGTATCATCAACAAATAAATAAAAGATGTGATATAGCCATTCTTCCTCTTATTATCTTTTTTTTTTTTTAATTCTCTGTATAAAATATTCATCCTCTTACTATCATCAACGAAAAGTAGATGTCAGGTATCATTGGTGACCAGTAGATGTGGTATTGCCATTCTTCTTCCTATTTCCTTCACTGCTTCAATCCCTCAATATAGCCTCTGCCACCGTTCTGTCTATGAGCCTTCTAAAGGCCTCCATCACAAACAACGACGACTATTGGGACAAACATGTCTCCTTATGTTATATCCTCCTCCAGATACTCAAATATCTGCAAGCACTACCATTCAAAATAACATAAAAGTTTTCCATTGAATATGGTTAATGAAGATAGCATCAATTTAGTTGAACTTCAGCTGATTCATGTTGTATAAAATTGAGGACAAGGGCATAAATCAAGGACTGGAACTGTATAAAACCTTGGCCTTTGGTTGATATCACTGTGTATAGTGTAAGAAAGAAACTTAGAGATAACAGAATGCATCAATTGACAGGGAACTAAATCTGAGACCTTTAACGACCTCCAAAATGGAAATAAACATCTGTGTTCAATGAAAAGAAATTTTTTTATGACTGGAAGGTGACTAGAAGATAAAACAGGGAAGCTAAAAATGACTAAATCAGTTTTAAATGAAGAAGTGTTACATGTAGAGATTCTCCTATTGACCAGAAAAGATTCTTTTCAAACTTAGGATGTTTTTTTCCTTGTAAAAGTTATTTATTTCTGGTAGTTCTTGCTGCATTCCTGTGTTTTGTAGGCATACCTTCTTCAACTTTGTGATACTGAGACAACGAGAATGCTATCATTGCGTTCCAGTTATTGACTGGTTGTTCTGGCTTTTGTGTCGACAGTTTGTGTCTTGTAGGCATAGTACACTAGCAAAGTGCTTAATTTTTTCAGCACATCATACTACACTAGCAAATGCCTTGCACAGCTTTTCCTGCTTTAGTTATGTTCTTTCTGAATGTGAAATTTTCTCTGTGATTGATTGACATCGTTTTGCATGATGAAATTGATAATGCTAGAAAAAATATTTTTAACCTAGTGAAAAACAGTCTTGGAATGTGCCTTGTATCAAGTTTTAATTTTCATCAGTAATTATTATTCTGAAATAATTGAAGCTGAGCACGATGAGCCTGTTTATGGCGTGTATTCTTATGTGATCAACTCGTCTCGTCTTAGTACTTAGAAGCCTATAAAAGTCTTCATTCTTGATGAACTTCGAATTTATACTTCATTTTCTCAGGTACAGAAAATTCCCCGTTCTCGGTTCTCCATCTTACTGCCAAAAGGATCTGGATGAATCCTGAGAGCTTGTTATCAGAAAAGAGGTGAGCCTTTGTCAAAATGTCCTATGATATGTTGAATTCTCTGAACAGCTGCAAAATATTCTTGGATTGGAAAAGAAACAAACCTTTTTTCATGTTTGTGTAACAAAAACTACATTATTATTTTGCATAAAGAATTGATGAACAAAAAATAAATAGAAGCTATATCTCTATTCCCTACTAATTTGTCTTCTCTTTTTTCATTGTGCAATATTTTTCAGTTTATGTTGTCTTATCTTTTTCATGAACGAGAATTATTTAGATAAGTCGAATAAAAGATAGTATTGTATATAATTTGAGTTTTGAGATCAATAATGGGAAATATTTGTTTGCTCAAGATTAAATTATACTTATGTTGCACAAATTTGAGAAGAACAAAGGTTCATGTAATGTTTGAAACTAAATGGCAGTGTAATTCCCTCTCAAAAGGCCACAAAAGAAATGAACTCTAGGCAAGGAATGTTAGGTTGTTTAAAATTTAATAGATCAACAAAAGGCCAAACACATACATAATCCCTCCCCTAAATTTCATTTAACAGTTCAACTCAATCTTGTTTTATTTTAACCCTCTAATTACATTTTTCATATACCACTTGAACACAAAATATTAATTGACCTGACCGGTGAGATTACCCACTTTTTAAAGCGAGTGGCACATTAATTTCATAGTTTCATTTTTGTATTATTATTTTTAAATTTACCCCTCCTGTTGGAGCTCCTACCTGTGTTCCCTTGGTGACTTGAACTAACAATCTTAAAAATTGAAACTTGAAAGTGAACGGATTTACTATCCGAACCACTCCCTCTTGTCTTTATTTTTCTATTTAGTTTGATTGTTTTAAAAAAAAAACTTTCAAGTACGTGAATATGGACAATGTACAAAATGTATAAATGCTAAAAGTGGAATATTTTACGTGTCACTCTTATCTCTCTCTACCTATATGACTTGAAACCTATCCAAAAGGTTAAATTAAAAATAGCTAAATATCTTCCCTACCAAACTTCGAAAAAGAGCTGTCGACATTTCCCTTCTAAATTATCATGTTTTAGCACCTATTTCATTTATTGGCAAGTATACATAAAAAAAATAAAATCTTCTTTTCCTAAAATTTAATAGTAAATAACTAACTAGAATAGCTTTGACAATTGACATCGTTCGTTCTCCTTGTTCTGGAGAAACTTTACTCTCAACACTTTAAGTTAGCAAGATTAATAGGTTTATACTAGGGTA